GGACATTTAAAAATGGCGGCGCCCGGCTTTATGCAAATGAAGCCCGGGAAATTCAAATCCTGGGCTTCATTTGCAACTCCGGTTGCCTACATTACCACCCTAGTTCGAACTAGGGTGGTAGTGTAAACATACCCAGAGTGATTAAAGTCCTCCACGAGAACCTGGGCCTGCGATCTGGAAGCTTCGCTCAGTTGTCTGAAGAAAGCCTCATCTACCTCATCCATCTGATTCGGTGGCCTGTAGCAGACACCAACCACAACATCACTGCTGTTATTTGCTCCTTTAAACTTAACCCTCCCCTGCCTGTTGTTCCTGAACAGTCTATACCCTTCCATGACAGCGCTCCAGTCATGCGAGTCATCGCACCAAGTCTCTGTTATCCCAATTAAATCATATTTCATGACAGCGCTCCAGTCATGCGAGTCATCCCACCAAGTCTCTGTTATCCCAATTAAATCATATTTCTTGGTCTGGGCCAGGGCCTCCAGTTCTTCCTGTTTGTTGCCCAGGCTTCTCGCATTAGTGTACAAACACTTCAGGTAACCAGTTGATTATATGGGTAGGGTGTATGAATCTTGTAGGCAGGGCGGGACTAAAGGCACTTAATTGCGGTCCTGAATGATAAAATTCCCATAGGATTTGATGGGAATGAGTACATGGTCATTTACATGACTTTTTAATGTGGCTCTTATATATAGCTGTTGCTCCTTCTAAGTTAGCTACAGTAAACTAGTTTAGATTTTACATTAGAAATAGTTGCTCACTGTAGCTACCTACTTATCCACCTATCTGTTTATAGCATGGTTATGTCCACAGTGTCTGTGCAACCTTCAAAAAAGTAGTTAAAATGAGGTGCTCTATTTCTCTTCCTCCCCTTTCCCAATTAGCAGGGGTTTGCCATAATCTCTCACCCTTCTCGTTCAATACCCATCTCTAAGGCTACGTCTTCACTGGCAGCTTCTTGCGCAAGAACAGCCGTTGTTGCGCAAAAACTTGCCTGCTGTCTGCACTGCATGCCCGTTCTTGTGCAAGTAAATTTGCAGTATAGTGTTGTAAAACAGGGCTTCTTCCAGAAGAATTATTCCTCTCCCCACGAGGAATAAGCCCTCTTGCGCAAGAGCTCTTCCACAAAAGGCCAGTGTAGACAGGCAATATGAATTCTTTGCGCAAGAAGCCCCTATGGTTAAAATGGCCATCAGAGATTTCTTGCTGAAGAGAGCGTCCACACTGCCATGGATGCTCTTGCACAAAAGCACATGCCAGTGTAGACGCCTTCTTGTGGAAGACTTTTTGCGTAAAAACTCTTCTGCAAAACAGTTCTTGCACAAGAAGCTGCCAGTGTAGACGTAGCCTGAGGGTACATCTAGACTACGTTCTTTTTTTGAAAGGAGATAAACAAATTCGGCACTAATTTGCATATCTTCTTCCAATGGCTTTTTCGAAAGCAGTTTTTTTCCGAAAGTGAAAGCAGTTTAGATGTGGAGGGGAGGTCGAAAGAACCCTGTACATCTCATTTTTTAAGGAAGACGGGTTAAGACAAAGAATGAGACTCACAAA